CAAGAAGCCATTCCTGATGCCCCTCCCCCTTTGAATGGCCCTTAGCCAGTAACTCCTTTATGGTTCCTCTTATTTTCCCATCAAATATCTCTCCATGTTTGCCTTAAAGTGCACACGATGCAGCACCCCACATAAGGGAGCAATATGTCCTGTACTTAGTAGATGCTCAATAAATATTTGTGAGGCTTAATTATATCCTATTGAAAATCATACCAAACAAAAATAATGAGGATATGCAATTATATTTACTGGCATTGAAAGATACTATAATGGAGTATTGGTGACTTTTAAAAGCTGATTTTAAAATACAATGCCCAGGATGACTTCATTCATGTAACTACAGAGTTGCCTTGTTCCAGCTGGGGCCCTGGCAGGAAGCACAGTCCATCAGAATGGTCCACTTGCAGGAGCTTCAGCAAAGGGAGCTCTCAAAGGCTATGGGGAGGGATGATGACATAAGATGAGCCAGGTAGGAAGTGTGTGACATCAAAACAAGAGAAGAGAATACTTTCACGGGCCTGGTTAAGACTTGACCCACCAGGCGAGGCCAGCCCCAGGACCTGAAGCCAGAAGGCAAGAGGCGCTGACCCAGGGAGGCATCTCTGGTCTTGTTCTGCCCAGGCTGTGTGCCTGCTACACTTTCCACTGCCCAACACAATAGGAAGTCAGTGGCAAGGAAACGATTACGGCACAAAAGGATTACCTCCTGGTAACAGAGGAAGGCAGAACAGGCAGAAAAGGGGCCAGGGATGGAGGGTAGAGGCACACAGAACACACTTGGGAGGAGTCTGGAGGGGAAGGACAGGGCTATAGTACAGCCAGCCTTTCCTTATCCCTTTTACTCCATTTTTATACAGAGCACATAGTTGTTTCTATAGTAGGGTGGGGATAGACTTTTCATTTAACACTCTGACCCTTCAAAAATCCATGCAAGGGCAAAAAATGAAATAGGCATATTTAATAAATAATGATCTTCACTTTTAAAATCTTCAAATGTTTCAATCTCTGACTTTTAAAGTTGAAGGTACACCTAATTATTAATGGAATTCCCCCAGTCACTGATGTGTTTATTTAATAAGTATTTTTGAATATGATTGATGCTAGCCCCAGGAAACGAAGCTGGGTAGGGTAGGCACCAAAACCAGCAGGAAAGATGGGCATGGTGCATGAGGCCCCCAGTGGCAGGTTGGAGGTGGATCAGGGCCACCCAACTGGGGACCCAGGAGCCCAAGAGAGACATCACACAGGTGCATCCTTCCCCGAGAGCCAGGGCCACAAGTGGGTTCCTCCATTTCCCCCGAGCCATCCAGCCATACTGAGATTGGGCGCATGCAATATGAAAATGAGTTTAGGATAAAATGTTAGTTAAAAAGTCAGACAACCAAGAGGATATTTCATAAGCATAATACTACACAATGGTTCCAAGATTCCCTAGAGGTCAGTCCATCGGTATTTCTATTGTCCCTTTGCCTGCGCCTCTCCACTGGCTGCAGACCTTGAGTTCTTCATAGCTCTCCCCTAGAGGCTTTCCTTCTTTTCTTTTCTTCTTTTCTTTTCTTTTCTTTTCTTTTCTTTTCTTTTCTTTTCTTTTCTTTTCTTTCTTTTCTTTTCCTTTCTTCTTTTCTTTTCTTTTCTTTTCTTTTCTTTTCTTTTCTTTTCTTTTCTTTTC